GCTCACTGGCTGAGCGAGGTGCGGGCGCAACACCAAGGGTTGCAATCCCGTTGCCAGTCCCAGTCCGGTACGGGCGCGAGACACTGAGGGTTGCGATCCGTTGCCAGTCACAAAAAAAGACAAAAAGGAAAAAAAAAAGTCTGACTTTTATCTTATTATGAAAACACATGTGCGTTGTAGAAGACTTGGAAAATAAAGGTAAAGATAAAATAAAGAAAGCTAAAATGTCTTGTAAACTCAGAACTACTCATGAACTCATGAACTATTGCTATTTTGGTCTTGGCATGTAGACCTTTTTTATTTCATGTGTGTGTGTGTATATATATATATATGCTAAACATATATATATGTTTATTTTAGCAATAACAATTAATTAGATAATAAAATCATGTTGTTAATTATTTTACCCAGTAGTCTTAAAATTCAGATGTTGTTGACTCAATTTAATGTTGTTGTTACTTAATCTTCTCTTTTCCTGAATAGGTAGAAAGTCTTTATCCTCAAACTGGCTGGGTTGAAATTGATCCTGATGTTCTCTGGGTTCAGTTTGTTGCTGTAATAAAAGAAGCTGTCAAAGGTAATTGGATTTATAAAAATAACAATAATCTCTACAGTACATTTTGTTTNTAAACATATATATATGTTTATTTTAGCAATAACAATTAATTAGATAATAAAATCATGTTGTTAATTATTTTACCCAGTAGTCTTAAAATTCAGATGTTGTTGACTCAATTTAATGTTGTTGTTACTTAATCTTCTCTTTTCCTGAATAGGTAGAAAGTCTTTATCCTCAAACTGGCTGGGTTGAAATTGATCCTGATGTTCTCTGGGTTCAGTTTGTTGCTGTAATAAAAGAAGCTGTCAAAGGTAATTGGATTTATAAAAATAACAATAATCTCTACAGTACATTTTGTTTATAATGAGTTTCCCTCAGGCTTCTGTAGAACTTTATAGTTTTCTTACGTTATAATTATATGTACAGTATTTTATTGGTGTCACAGTTATCCCCTATTTTTTTCAAAGAAAACTTGTGGTTTACAGGAAACAACTTTGCAAAGGAAAGATAAGAGCAACTACATCCTCTGGTTTGTGTCTTTTCAGCTGTAGTATAAATATGCACCCTCCTTCATTCCACCTTGTAGCTAATGACGATTTGATTTCCTGTTGGGTACAAAATACCAGAGGGTTATAAACAAAGCTACCATGTATAGTTCCTACTCTCATGAGTTTACCACCTAGTTACCATTATTGCAAAATAAGTTATTTCATTTTTTTTTTGTTTTCTTTGTGGCCACTTGATGCAAAGTGCACTTCTGGCCATAGCCATGATCTAAAATCTTAGCTCTTTAAGAACATTTTTGATGCAACCTTGTTTTAGAATGTGGCAAAAGATGACTTGTGAAAGTAAATTCTGAAAGGTCTTTACTTCATTTTTCTAGCTGAATTGCTTCTCCTCATCTTTCTGGTTTCAAATTTTTCAAGATTTATAAAAAAGTTGCAAGAATAGTACAGTGAACACTTGCATACCCTTCTAGATTCAAACATATGAGGGGTCTTCAAAAAGTTCGTGGAAGGATTCATATTATCTTTTAATTTACTTTTCCACAAACTTTGGCAGTGCCCTTCTATTTTGCAACGTTTGCCATTCTCAACAAACTTTTTTTTTTCTGAACAATTTGAGAGTTAGTTGTGACATAATAACCTGTTATCCCTAAATACTACAGCATTATCATCAAAGAAAAGGAGTATTTTCATACATAATCACAATGTAATTATCACACTCAGGAAACTAACACTAACACAATACTATTTTCTAGTACTCAGTCTTTGATAATCTCTCTTATCTCAGTAAAGAAAATAAAAATAACTTTTTTGCAATCTAGAATCCAACCAAAGATGAGGTATTGCATTTAGCTGTCAGTCTGTTTAGTCTCCTTTAATCTAGAGCATGTTCTTCATGACATTGACAGTTTTCAAAACTACAGGCCAGTTTAGTGAGCTGTCCCTCGTCTTGGGGTTGTCTGATTGTTCACTCATGATTAGATGCAGGTTAAGTATTACTGGAAGGAATACTATGCAGGGGTGACATGTTTTCCTCAGTGCTCAAATTGAAGGTGTCTCAGATTTTCCCAGTGGGATAAATTGATTTTAAGAGAATATCACAAAAACACTTGAACTGCTATATTTTAAGAAATTTGGACCCCAAACCTTGGCATTTTAATTTGTATCTTGGCATCTGTTTATGTTGAAAATAAGATCTCAGCTTCAATAATTACACTAGGGGTTTTCCTTTATTGCAATCAACCTGCTTCTATTGTGATTGATCATTGCTTACATTAAGGTCCAGTCTTTTAGTATTATCAAGCAGAAAATACAATCTGACTGACTTTGAGAGCAATACCTGTCTTTTTCTAACATTTTCTAACATTTAAAGCCAAAAAGGTCATTCTGTTATAATTAAGATACGACCTTTTTTTCACTTTAAAGTAAAAAAACAAAACAAACAAACAAAAAAAACTACAAAATCATCATGGTAATACTTTATTAGCTCCAATTGTTTTATTAAAATGCTAAACCCATATGTTTTTCTTAAAGATTATATTGAATAATTTCTTTTCCATACTGTTGTAAAGCAAAACTTTACTTGCTTTTAGACATGTGTTTTATCTGTCTTTACTTTCAGCCGCAGGAATACAGATGAATCAAATTGTTGGTCTTGGCATTTCAACACAGAGAGCAACTTTCATTACATGGAACAAGTAAGTTCACCGTGAGATTAGCGCTCTATTGTGGGATCGGGTTCGTGGTCAGTGAGTACACTGCTCTGAAACCTGTTTGGGGAATTTTATGTTTATGTTTGTTGGTCTTGGCATTTCAACACAGAGAGCAACTTTCATTACATGGAACAAGTAAGTTCACTGTGAGATTAGCGCTCTATTGTGGGATCGGGTTCGTGGTCAGTGAGTACACTGCTCTGAAACCTGTTTGGGGAATTTTATGTTTATGTATTAAGAACAGATTTGCTTGGTTAAGAGGAATGAAAATGGGCCTGGTTTTTGACTTATATGTTCCCTGTATGTCATCTGGGCTTGACTTATATAAAACAATAACAATGAAGAGACCATTGCTGCCATTAAGATTCTCTGTTCCTTTCTTTGGTGTAAGTTAGCTTTTCAAACTAGAATGGCTTGGAGATCTAAAGAGCTAGCTTATATGTAAAAAGAGTCAGGGGAACCTAACAAATTTCAGAAACACGATACTATGCTTATGGTTTATATTTTCAGTCCATTCCTAGTTTAATATTAAAGTGTATAAAGCATATGAGCTATATGTAGATTAAACACAATTATAGTATCACAATAGCTACCACACTCCATGAACACCCATGATACTCTAAGTTCCATTATCCTTACAACAAACCTATTATTTAGGTATTATGTCTGTTTTTACAGAGAAAGAAACTGAAGCTCAGACAAAATGAGTAAGTTGTTGAAGGTCTCTCAGTTAGTAAATACAGCCAAGATTCCAGATTTTCTGACTGAAACAAATGTTCTCTCCACAGCCCCCATACTCCCTTCAGCCAGTGTTTCTTGCTTAAACAAGTCTTTGTTACAAAGCACTAGACTCCGAAGGATGTCTTGAGTTTGGGCAGTGGGGAAGAATAGTGGGCATAGGGAGTGGGGATGAATCTAAGAAGTATAATCAGGGTGAATTCACAGGATTTGGCTTCTAATTGAGTATTAGGGAAGAGGAAGAAATTTGAATTTACCCATATTTCTGGCCTTGATATTTGGGAGGGTATGATAGAGATTACAGGGCACATAAGAGGAGGAACGGGCTGGGTAGTGGGGGTGGGTAGAAGGGAAGATGATAAAGTGTTTAATCTAGGACATGTGAGGTGGTGATACCCAGAGGTGCGTGGAGCATTGGTGTAATTTTGTCTGAGGCATGGCATATCTGCATTAGATAGGTACTGTTTTTCTGAGGGCATGATGCATCACACACTGATGCCTGCTCCTGCACTCCTCCTGTACCTATACCCCAGTGCCTTGGGCATGGCAAATCTTAAAGAATAATATATTGTCAGAAAAAAAGGAATGAATTAATTTAAGTTATCTGTGTAGATCAGGATATCTAATCAGTGGCATTGTTGTCATTTTAGGCCAGATAATTCTCTTGTGAGGACCGTCCTGTGGCATTGTAGATGTTTAGCAGCACTTGTGACCTGTACACACTAGATGCCAAGTAGCACCCCCACCCCATTGTGACATGCACAGATGTCTCCAGGTATTGCTAAATGTCTCCTGGGGGGCAAAATCACCCCCAATTGAGAACCATTGTTGTACACGAAGTCCTAAGAAATAGGTGTGTTCTCTGGTAGAGATTATCTAGAGAGAATAGAAGACGGCTGAGATTTGGACTATGGGTTTTCCCCCCAAATTTTAAGGTAATCAGGGAAGGAAAAGCTGGGAAAGCAAGACAAAGGTGAATCTTGGAAGTGGATGGTATGGAGAGTGTTCCCAGGAAAGGAATTGATTGGAAATGTCACACTTGGTTGGATTTGGAGATTAGGTCATTTTAGCCCCAGCAATTCCTTTCATCAGCAGCTGGCTACCGTATTATTTATGACAGGAAGGAAACACAAAGTTTTTGTGTGACACTAGGACCATACCTCACTATTAGAAGAAATAGAAGAGTCAGATTCCAGGATGGTTCAACACTCTTACTGGTGTTGCTGCTGTTGTAGAGGCATGAGAGTTCTTTCTAAAACAATTAATTGTGAATTTATTTTCTTGGCTGTCCTTTTTTCTTTTTTGAAATATTTGTATTCTTTCATGAATTTTAAAAACATTCTTTGCTTGTAGAAACTGAAATACTGGATATTTTTTGGAAAAACACGTGAGGTTATGTGCTTTTTTTACCTTAAAATAGCTTTATTTTTCTCATTGGGTCCCAGTGATCCACTGTGGTGTATAATGCTAGCAGATTCTACAAGCTCTCCAACAACAGCTAAGACACAACACAGGAGTGGGCACAGCTCAAATCCAGCAGGAAGTGCTTCTTCCTCATTTGTGAGAGAGAAAGAGAGAAAGACTGGACTCCATGGAAGAATCTATTGTTATTTTTAATCCCAGCCTGCACCTCCTTCTCCCAGCTTATTGTTTTGTTTGTTTTTTTTTCTCCTGCATCCATGGTGGATTCCTGTGGTCATGGCCATTGAAACATTATTTTTCTTATAGTTGCTGTCATGAAGTCTAAAACTTTGAACTTTCTTTTTGTTTTTCTCCATGTCTCCCCACCCCCCCAGAGCAGTAAACTCTTTTTATTAATATTTTTCAGTCTTTGAGTTTTCTTCATATTCTTCAGTTTAAACTTTTTTTCATGGTATTTAATCAGTGGTGTGCTTAGCCTACTTTCCAAAATAACTCTAAATGGTTATTTTATCTCCTCCATTTTGGTTCTGTTAAATTCCTCTTGTTCTAAAAAATCATGAGCCATTGTTCTATTTCTTCAGTTACTATGTCTCTCGGGGAATTCTGCCAACTAACCTCTGATCATGGTGTGTGCCAGTCAGCAACATAAACTGTGAGTCACATGAGCTGGTATTTACTCTGTAACTGTTTGAGGGCTTATAGGAAGTAACACACTGTGCTGGTTGCTGAACTGAGTATAATGATGAGTAAGAATACCAGCCCTCGAGGAATTTAGTCTGATTGTACAAGTATATAAATTACTCTCTATTCCCAGGGCACCAAATATATCTTTTATTGTAGTATTCATTTACAATATTGCCATTCATGCTTCTCCTTCATTTCTCCTTTTATTTTTGATAGAGATGAGATAAACGCAAATCAATGCAAAGTGAATATTAGATATTCTATTCATAGCTGTGTCCCCAGCTCTTGGCACAAATTGTTTTATAATTATTTGCTGAAACCAGTGGTCAAAAATCAGATTTAAGTGTGTAAGTATGTGCTATTGTAGAATGACTTCTGTATTAGTCTGTTTCTGTTGTTTATAATAGAATACCTGAAACTGGATAATTTATAAAGAAATGAAATTTGTTTCTTACAGTTTCAGAGGTAGGAAGTCCAAAGTCCAGGGAATACATCTGGTGAGGGCCTTTTTCTTGGTGGTGACTGTCCATAGCAACTCATGATGTCACACAGAGAGGATGGGCTGAGCAAGAGACCTAACCTGCTCACTTGCTCTCTATATAAAGCCATCAAGACCATGCCCATGACCACCCATTAAAACATCAACCCATTACTCAATGAATGAATCAGTGCATTCACTAGAGCCCAGTCCTCACAATCTAATCACCTCTTAAAAGGGTCCCACCATTCAAATACCATAATTGGATCTCCCACCTTCTTAACATTATCACAATGGAGATTAAGCTTCCACTACATGAGCTTTTGGGGGACACATTTGATCCATAGCACCTCCAAGGGTTCATATATCAATAGATTTTATTTTTATTAAATACAATTTGATTTTTCACAAGGGTGCCAAAACCAGTCAATGGGGAAAGAATAGTCTTCAACAAATGGTGTTGGGAAAATTGGATATCCACATGCAAAAGAATGAAGTTGGTTCCTTACCTAACACCATATAAAAAAATTAACTCGAAAATGGGTTAGAGACCTAAATTCAAAGGCTAAACTGTAGAACTCTTAGAAAACAGATGCAAATCATCAGAACTATGGATTTTACAGTGATATCTTACATGATTTCAAGAGCATAGCTAACAAAAGAAAAAAGGTAAATTGGAGTTCATCAAAATTAAAAACTCTGTGTCAAAGTACACTATTATGTTTTTACCTATTTATAACTAGTTTTTCTTTATAAGTTTTTTAACTATTAGAATTCTCCAAGGTATAAAAAAGAAATCTCCAAAGTGGGAAAGTTGCCCTAAATTAAATCCTAAATAATAAGAAATAAAGCCATGTTAAAAATATTTTGACATAGTGTACAAGTTGCATTTTTAAAATATGTCTGAAAAAATTTACAGTCATTGATATCAAGTCTGCAGTTAGATTTCTGAAAACCAACTGCAGCATATAACATGGAAGATTTGTATTGGGATGTTTGGTTTGTAACTTCATCTAAGATTGAGGACTGAAACAATTGAAGAATCACTTCTTCTCTGATTTGTACTTATGATAATTTTGACCATTTGGATCTCTAAGGAAAAATAAGTAACATGTTCATGATGTAGGTGAATGCTGTGATTCCTATTAATAAACGTGAAAAACAGAAAAAAAGACCCTATTAAGTCTTAAGAAAGTGAAAAGACAACCCACATAATGGGAGAAAATATTTGCAAATCATATTTCTGATAAGGAACTAATACCCAGAATATGTAAAAAATTCCTGTAATTCAACAACAGAAAAACCCTAACTCAATTCATAAATGGACAAAGGGAGTTTGTGGACTTAGGAGGGTGGAGCAAGATGGCAAAATAGGACTTTTCAGTGATCATCCCTCCACAAAACATCAATGTAAACAACTATTCACTCATGAAAATACATTCAGAAGAGTTTAGGAAACCAAGTAAGAAATTGCATACCTGGTTGTAGCATAATAATAAGAAAAGATGAATTGAGGGGTAGGAAGGAAAGTTTTACATTACCTACATCACCCTTCCCCTAACTTAGGGAGCATATCCTGGAGAGAGATGTCTGCCTGGGAGAAAAGGAGGGATGTAAACATAGGACTTTGCATTGGGCTCAGTACTGGCCCACCACAGTAAAATCCCACACCAGGCAGACCCCCACAACCCCTAACTACAAGCTGGTACTTACAGACTGAGCCTCTATACCCATCCTGCCACCAGATGGGAACCTATAACCCTTTCAGCACAGACTCGAGTTCCAGCTCACATTCACCACCTGCTGATTACAA